TTTTTCAATATCGGCAACTGAGTTTCCTGTGCCTAGGTCCTTGATTGGGTCAAGGTCAAAATAGAAGACGGAAAGGTGGGTGAACAAATTGACAAAAAGATTAACAACAAATTTCCAAATGGCCGTAGTCAATTGGTCAATAGCATGAGCAGCCATACTTGATAATAATCGTTTTAAAGTTTTTATTTTATTCAATGTAAAATAGGCAACCGGAAGAAAAACAGCAAAAGTTTGCCTGTTTATATATGACAAAAAAGTTTTTTTTGTTGTTGTCATGCCCAAAATGTACTTGTACCAGATTGTGCCTTGTGATTTTTTATTTTTTATTTAAATTATTTTTTTTAAATCAAAGTGTGATTTACCTCATGATTAAATTTAATTGACAATAAAAACTCATTATTTTCTTAGAAACGTGTTCAAACTTTTTAAATTTATTGTCATTGGTAATGATCAACATTTGAAAAGCTAAAAATTTTACGTTTATGGTATCTAAAAACGATTTATTTTTGTTTAAAAACAATTTTTTTTGTCAAAGGTATCTAGGGTTTATGTGTTTTAACACATTTAAAATCTGCTTTCCGTTCACTAATTTACTTAAAAAAAGTTTGTTTTTATTGATTTTAATTTTTTATTTAACTTTAAATAATTATGCCTTGTTCACAAAATTTAAAAAAAATTGTTATTACTTTTAACAACAACTCATATCAATGTGTTATTTTAACAAAAACAAAATCATCAAGTTTAAAATTTTACGTTGACTGATTCTAGGTAAATTTGCAGTTGGTAGCATTTGAAATCAGGTACATCAAATTGAACAAATGATAATGCCAGTAATAATAATAAAAGTACAATTAAGTGCGTTACAAACATCGATGTAGCCTTGCAAAGTCAACATTGACGGGCTAAATTAAAGGCCAACTTTATTTGACAAAAAAAGACTTTTTTTTGTTCATTTTCTTTTTGACTATCGAATTCTGGATAGCAGTCAGTCAGTTGTTGGTCATTAGCAATCAGAAAAGGGCAACAGAAGAAAAACAGAAAGGCAAGTGTAAGAAGTGGCCTCTTAAAATTAGATTAACTTGACGTCGTTTGAAAGTTTCTTCCCTTCACTTTTGTTTTTTTTCTAGTGGCGGTGGCGGCAGTGGTGATCACGATGGCACTTGAAAAAAGCCTGGAAAAAGCAAAAAAAAGATAAAAAACCAATCGAGCTAATTTTCTGCTTGATTCTGACTGCAAACAATAAAGGAAAAAAATAATTGAAGAAAAGAAAAACTAAAAACTTTCTTCAGGACCGCTGTTGTTGTTGCTGCCGCTGCTTCACTTGAAAAAACAAACTTTTTCTCCTGTTTTTTTCTTTTTGTTTTTTCAAAGTCAATTGAGCAGCAAATTAGACAGTTGCAGACTGCCTAGCTTTTTTCTGTTCTGACTGATAAAACNAACAAACTTTTTCTCCTGTTTTTTTCTTTTTGTTTTTTCAAAGTCAATTGAGCAGCAAATTAGACAGTTGCAGACTGCCTAGCTTTTTTCTGTTCTGACTGATAAAACAGATAGATGCCAATCGAAGAATGACTGAAGCAGGAAAAAAGTTTTACTTTCTATTTATTTTTTCCTTGTTAATTCAGTAATAGTAATACACTATGTTCAGTACGGTAATACTTTATTAGTTACTTTTAATTGGCTTTCATTTGACATATCAAAAAAAACGAAGAGGGGAAAAGAAAAAGAGGTGCACTTAAAGTGAAAGAAAAATGAAAAGCACCCAAACTTAAATACAAAATAGTTTTTTTATTTAAAGAGCAATTGAAAATAATGGCATTTTTTATTACTTCAATTGATTTAATAAAGGCACCCTGCTTTTTTTCGATGATTTCCCATTTCATATTTAATTAAAGTACCGTACCTGACATTTGGAAAGAAGGTACAGAATTTAAAATATGGCATTTCATTTGCAAATTGAAGTGATTTCGCAAAACATAAAGGTAAAACATTGCTAAGGTGACATTGAGGACAGGAGCGTTGTGCTGTGCTCACCTTAGGCTTTGCCGCCTAAAGTCGTAGCCGATTTTCAAAAAAGCTTTTCACAGCACCCCTGCTGCACTCTGGTGGCGGCGTGCAGCAACTTTTCTCGACTGACTGCTCACTGTTCCCCCTAGCGGAGAGCGAGCGCACCTGAGAGCACAACAAAAGGTGTACCGGTTTTTTCTTTCTCTCGAAAAATCCTCTCCCGCTCTCTCGCTCTTTCTCTTTCTCTGGGCCCACTTGTTCGCCATCTTTTTTATTTTATTTTAGCTTTGTATCCCCACCAAAAGAAAAGTATCCCCTCCTGACTGGATCTGAATTCTCTGCATCTCGCTCATCACAACAGAAGCAGTTTCTTTTCTCATTCACTCAATCTCCTCCTCCTCCTCCTCTTCGGTTATCATCTTCTGCGTCATCAGACACAACAAACAACAGCTCGTCAACTTTTGTTTCTCATTCTACCTTCTGATTTTCCCCCCATCATGTCCAGCATCTCCCTTCTGCGACTGAGCGAGGAGCGTAAAGCCTGGCGAAAGGATCACCCCTTTGTGAGTAGTAGATCTGATGATTGCAACTGGTAATAAACAAAAAAGTTGACGTTTTTCCCTTTTGTGTTTCAGGGATTCACCGCTCGTCCGGTTCGAAATCCGGACTCGACCTACAATCTCACCGAGTGGGAATGTGCCATTCCCGGCAAGAAAGGTGTAAGTGTTTGTTTTGATTTGTTGTCATCCTAAAGATCACACCTCATCTTGTCAAATTTTAAATTGATGTTCTTTTTCTTCCCTCTGCAGGGTCTCTGGGAGGGCGGCATCTACAAGCTGAAGATGTTCTTCAAGGAGGACTACCCCTCGGCGCCGCCCAAGTGCCGCTTCGAGCCGCCGCTCTTCCACCCGAACATCTTCCCCTCGGGCTCGGTCTGTCTGTCGATCCTGGACGAGGAGAAGGACTGGCGTCCCTCCATCAGCATCAAGCAGATTCTCCTGGGCATTCAGGAGCTGCTCGACAATCCGAACATCAAGGATCCGGCGCAGGCGGACGCCTACACCTGCTACAAGTGAGTGCTTCAGCCTTTTTAGGTGGTGGAGTTTTTGCTAACTCTTTTGTTTCTTTTTCTTTTCAGCAACAACCGCAAGGAGTACGAGATGAAGGTGCGCGCACAGGCCAAGGCGATGGCCATGCAGCTGTAAATGGGCACAAGCACAAACAGCACACTTCGACTTATTTGGTCATGACTTGAGCATGACCAGCTCCTTCTGTTCTGTTCCAACAGGAGCCCTTCCTCGTGAATTCTCCGTACATTTTATTATTATTATCTGCATGAGCACGACCACACACCTTTTTCTTCACCATCGCCACCACCACCTTCATCTTCCCAACAGCAACAATCTCATCCTAGTAGAACAGTACCACCACCACCACCAAAACAGCATGAAACGAAACGAAACGAGTTTCTGAGATAGACATAGCAAACAGGAGCATTATATATCAGATGTGTTTTATTTATTTCAGGTTTTGTTTTACCACCACTACGACACTACAATCTTTGTCCGCTGTTCAACTTCTGCTGTGTGTCAACAAAGAGAGTAAAGGATGAGCGCAGCCGCTTTTAACCATTAGCTATTTAACTCGGGCTGTGGTGGTGATCACCATCAGGCCCACCACCACCACCACCAGTCTTTCCATTGCCTTCTTCCTTATCATTCTTCGGTGACTGTGGTTTGTTATTGTTGGCCAGCGGCGAGAAGATGATCGGCTGGAGGGCGGTGTGCAGATTCCAGAAGGCATTTTTAGTCTGACCGTTTTCCACCGACTTTCCCGACGATATAGCCGCCCGCTCCCGTTCCCGCTCCCGTTCCATGGCGGTGGTGCGGAGGGCGGTTCGGTAGAGGGGCCGGCTGACCTTCAGGTAGAGGACCTTCTCCGGGCAGTAGAGGGAAAAGTCGGCGATGAAGGAGGAGGAGGAGGAGGAACTTTTTTCCTTACCTTCCTCATCGGTAAAGGTCGTCTTCTGCTCAGTGGTGGTGGTGGTCTGAACTGCTCCAACGCTTCCGTTTCCGGTCACTTCACCGCCGCCGCCGCCGTTGTTTTCAGCTTTCGACCGCTCCTCCTCCATCTCCTCGATCATCAGCGCGCTGACGCCAAAGTAGCAGAAGGGCCCGGCGCTGTACTCCTGGTTCTCCTCGGTGACCACCACGCGGGCGTGCCCCTCGAGGATCATGATGAAGTAGTCGGCCGGCTGACCTCGCCGGTAGAGGACATTTTCGGGGGACATCTCCTTTAGAGAGCGAGCTCCATTTGAAGCTGCTGTCGTTGATCCTCCGCCTCGTTGATTTGATAGCAGTCCCTTTGCCTGGTAGTAGATGTCGTCCTGGGAGAGCAGTACTTTGAGGACCTCCTCGCTGATGTAGTGCTTGGAGAAGGGCTCGACGGCTAAGGAAAGAGAGAAGAGGGGAAAGAATTTTAGAATTTTATGGAATTAAAGATGGAATCGAGAATTTCGCAGAATTTAACTCAAAAATATTCACACTTACAAGAGGCGAGGAACCGTGAGGCGGCCAGCGCCAGCTGCGGACTGATGACCACATGAGTGCATCCAATGTGAGCGTGCAGGTTGTCCTTGAAACCGTCGCGAATGAAATCGAGGTAGCTCCGCTGACTTTGCACCTCCTTCCGCTTCTGCTTCCGGCGGTTGTCCGCTGAAAAGAAAAAAAAAGTTAACAAAGGTAAGTCGAGATTTAAAATGATGACCGTCAAAACTAAAATTAAAAATTCTCTCTTATACTACTACTCACAGATCACATCGGTCTCGTCGTTGATCTCCGCCTGCAGCAGCTCCTCGATGATGTCCTCCAGCGTGACGACGCCCAGAAATTCATAAACGGGATCGCCTCCCGCCCCACTGTCCACCACTCGATTGACCTGCGCCATATGTGATCGGCCGCTCTTGAACTCATTCAGCACCACATCGAGGGTCACATCTTCAAGAACCGTAAAAATGGGGTGCGAATAGAAGTCGAGGACCACCTTCAGCGGAAGGGCGTGATCGGCGTCCACCAGGGCGAGGTCCTTGACGTGCAGCACGCCCACCACCTTGTCTCGCTCTTCGAGGTAGATTGGAATTCGAGAGTAGCCGGAGTTGTTGATCGCTGTTAAAGTTTCGAAATTGAGCACGGTACTATAGGGGAGCATGAAGACGTCCTCCGCGGGCGTCATAATGTCCGCGACGCGGATGTTGCGGAAGCGGAGGGCGCCGGAGATGATCTGATAAGAAAATTTATCAATGAAAAGATTTTGAAAAAAACTTCTCGACTCTNTGTTGCGGAAGCGGAGGGCGCCGGAGATGATCTGATAAGAAAATTTATCAATGAAAAGATTTTGAAAAAAAACTCCTCGACTCCACCGTACCTTCATCTCATCCTGCTGCAGGTGATTATAGGTGCTGGTCACCCTAATGTACTCCATCAGCCGCTCTCGGTCGTAGACGTTGCCGATCTCCTCGCCCAGTATCCGGTCCAGGATCCAGGAGATCGGCAGCGAAAGGGGAAAAGTGAGGAACATGAAGAGATAGGTCACGTAGATGGTCTTCGCGCCGACGGCCAGGCCGTGTCTGCTGCAGGCCGCCTGCGGAATGATCTCCCCGAAGACGACGATGGCCAGCGTGGAGACGATGACGGCGAGCACACCGGAAGTGAGCCCATCCATGAAGATGGTCAGCGTCGAGTTGACCAGGACATTGCCGAGCAGCAGCGTACAGAGGAGGTAGTTACCTCGAGCTCGAACCGGCGCTATTGATCGCGCCCAAAATTTCTCATCCTCCGTGCCGCAGTTTTCAATTACCTGCAGCTCGTTCTTGTCCAGCGCCATTAAACCTAGATTTAGCCCCGAGAAAAGGCCTGACATTGTGAGGAGGAGGGCGATCATCACCAGCGAGAGCCATAGGGGGAACAGCGGAGCTTCAGATTTAATCTTCAGCCAGCTGGAGCCGCCCACCTCGGTGGAGCTGGCCGCTCCAGCATATCGAAACTGCGCTTTCGAAGAGCTAGTCGGGGGCTCCTCTCCAGGCTGCAGCAGCGAGTAGCAGAGGAAGTAGGCGTCTTCGTTGGCGGCCAGCTGAACCAGGTGGACGTGAGCAGTGTAGCGATTGTCCACGGTGGCGGTGAAGGCGCGGCCGTGCGCAATGTGGCACTCTTCCGGTTCCACTTCCGGTTCAGCTTCCGGGTTAACTCCGTCGGTCAANGCCGTTTGTCTGGCCGGTGAAGTCGGTGCCGAAGAGGCGGAAGGTGACGTCGGTGTTCTCCTGGATGGTGTAGGTTCTGTGGGAAAAACAAATGAGAATTTTTTAGTTTGTGTATAAAAAGGCAAACAGGGCTTTGAAGGGTGATCATACGGTCCATGGTCGGTGATGCTCTTCTCGTCGCCCTCCAGGCGGAAGCCGGTGACGATTCGAGCAAACGCAGGAGGTGGTGGTGAAGGTGGTGGTGGTGATAATGAAGATATTGGTTGAGAAACTGAACGTTTATGTTGGGGTGGTGGTGGTGGTGGTAGTAGTAGTGATAAGACGGGGCTGATGACAGCTGTGCTCTGATTGAAGTTGTTGTCGTTGTTGATGGTGGCATTCAAGGGAAGCAGCTTCAGCCCAGCAGTTGAAGCGGGCAAGGCGGAGACGATCACAGCGAAGAAGGGTGAGAAAAGAAGAAGAAGTAGAAGGAAAAAGAAACTGAACTTGGCAACTTTGTGCTGAGCAAAATTGCCATCACCACCAGTGACACTGACACCACCACCACTGGCGCCAAAGCGGCGACGCGACTTTACATGCTGACTCAGACAGTGCTGCTGTTGGTTAGTTCTACAGAAAAGGCCACTGTACCCCATCAAAAAGTGGTGGATTGCTTTGCCTGGTGGTGGTGGTGGTGAGTGAGGTAATGAAATGCACAAACAGAAAACTAACTAAAGTGGATGATGATTGTGCACAAACAGAAAACGCTGATGAGTTGCTGACAGCAATGTGAGAAGAGCAGGAGCAAGAGAACACAGTCGAGAATAGGACTTACTGTCGCCGCTGAGTGCCGGTTAAATACTCATTACGAGTAAATAGTTAGTGCCATAATGATAGAGAGAGAGAGAGAGAGAGAAAGTGAGTGAATGTCAATGGTGTGGATTAGGGTTAGGGTTAGCGGTGAGTAGATTAGCAAGAGCAAATGTAAAAAAAGAAGAAAAGTAGATGAAGGCCATGTTGTACGGCAGCGGCAGCAACGGCAACGACAAAAAGCAATAACAACGTCAGTCAGACAAAATGGAAAGAAGAGAGTCGAGTGAAGTAATCAGCCCAAATGAGCAGACACTGACTCTGTTTCTTTCTCTCTTTCCGAGTCTCTCTTTCGCTGTGTTGTGGTTACGCCGATTCTGTGCTGTTGCACATCAGGAGACGACCCACACACACACACACACACACTCAAACGAGAAAGAGAGAAAGCACGGGCACCCAAACAGTTGTCGACAGTGTGCAACTTGAACTTGCAAACACAGAGTGTACGAACGAACAGTAACAAGAGGAAGAAGAGGAGCAGAAGGAAATTACAGCACAAGATGTGTGCACTGCTGCTGCTGTTGTTGTCGTACAAGAGCAGCAGTAGCAGCAGCCAACTTTTCTACTCTACTCTAATTCGAAGAAGTGCTCTCACGGAGTTCGTCGAAACCAAACAAAAAGGAGTTGCAGTTGCGGTGACTCAACTCAGTCGGAACTGATGCTGATGCTGATGCTGACAGATTGCGTAACTTCTTGTTTGTTTCTCGGTGTTTGTTTCAGGAAAAAGAGAGAGAGAGTGCTGTAAACAAACAAACAAAGCGGACACTAGGCACATACCTTCGTAGCCAGCCAGACAGACAGACAGACAAACAAAGAAAAACGCACCAAAAGTGTCAGTCTGCACCAGGATTAGGGTGAGAGAGGGTGACGTTGTTGAGGTGAATGATGATGATG